TTTCTCTCTAGAGTTCATTAGAGCTTTCCTATATCTCTATCTAATGAGTTTTTCCTTGTGGTCATTTGTGTATTGTTGATATTCCGATTAGAAGAAGATCCTCATGTGTTCAAGCATGGGAAGGTGGTGAAAGAATGCTTTTCCATTATCCCACATTCCAGGGTTGGGAGCTCAAAAGACTGATGATAACTGATTTCTTGTGGCATGCTCCTCAAACTAGTCTTTTTTTTTATTGTGAAAATACCATAAAGAGGGGTTACAATTACATGGGCGAGGTAATGAGTACATTTCTTATCAAGCATTGTTACCTCCTCCTTTGTTTCCCTTTCCATCCCTTCCCATCCCCCGCCCCCTTCTCAAATTAGTCTTATTTTGTGATGCCATCCTCATATTTTAGGAAGTATCTTCCTGTATTTATAGTTACCTATTTCCTTCTCAGTTCCTGTAGGGAAGAGGAAAGTGTTGAAAGCCTGTTGTACACCCTTCAAAGACTAAAAAAAAGAGAAAATGATAGCCAGAGATTCTTTGCAAATGTGTTCTCTTTAAAAAGAGCTATTGCCCAAAGATATAGTTGATTCTGCATAAATGTAAAAATAATTTATTTTATACATTTGTATGCTGTATTCCCAAGATAATTCTCATGACCTTTGTTGGGGGAAAAATGGAGTGTAGGAAGAAATTCTTCCTTCCAGGAATTCATTTATCATGTCATCTTGACATGGAGTATTTTAACATATAGAAATCAATTTTCATTTTCTTTTTTTATTGTTACTTAATCTCAAGAAAATCTTGATGGTCAACAAATGGAGTAGTTGTGAAATATATTTTTTAAATTATTTCAGTCAATGCCGCACAGCTATTCCTATGAAAGTTTAAAGCACTGAAAATTGTAGATTCGGTATGTCACTTTGCTTTTGGCTCATGTCTATAAGCTTATGGGTTGTTTTTTAATTGGTGTTTTCAGTGAGTACTTGTATCTAAAGTTAAATTAGTCAAGAAAAGTAAATACAGGAATGGGGGAAGTGAGGGATGGAAGGGATAGTAGGGGAAAAACAAAGGAGGGGTAACAGTGTTCAACAAGAAATGTACTCATAGCCGGGCACCGGTGGCTCATGCCTGTAATCCTAGCTACTCAGGAGGCTGAGATCTGAGGATCATGGTTCAAAGCCAGCCCAGGCAGGAAAGTCCATGAGACTCTTTTTTTTTTTTTTAAACCAGGGCTGAGAACCGAACCCACGGCCTTGCGCGCGCCAGGCGGGCCCCCTTCCGCTGAGCTAAACCCCCAGCCCCCCCGTGAGACTCTTATCTCCAGTAAACCACTAGAAAACCAGAAGTGGCGCTGTGGCTCAAGCAGTAGAGGGCTTTCCTTGAGCTGAAGAGCTCAGGTACGGTGCCCAAGCCCAGAGTTCAAGCCCCACGACCAACCAAAAAGAAAAAAGAAAAAGAAATGTACTATTACCTTACTCATGTAATTGTAACCCCTCTGTATAGCATCTTTACAATAAAATAAAGTTTAGAAAAAAAGAAAAGTGAACATGTTACTAACTTTTTAATGAAATTTTTCATAAATATTTAATACTATTCTTAACAGAGATAGTTGATGTTAAAAACAGTCTCCTTTAATTTATCACAGCGCTCTGTTTGACATATGATAATTTTTCTTTCTTAGAAGAGTTTTTTTTCATTCTATAAAAGTAACTATTTCTAACTGGGAGAAATGTAATCTACCTGACATATGTAACTGTAACCCCTTTGTACATCATCTTTATAATAACAACTAAAAAATTAAATTAGTAAAAGAATAATCATTTCTGATACCTGTCCTGTTATGTTCTTTATTAGAGCATCAAAATATAAAGCAGTAAAAGAGGAAAAAAATAAACAAGGGAAAAGGTAACATTGTTCCAAAAGAAATGTACTCATTACCTAACTTACATAACTGTAACCCCTCGGTATATCACCTTTATAATAACAATAAAAATCAAAAATAAATAAAACAATACCTGGTATTTGGGTATTAGGATCACCGTGTATTCAGCATTGTCAGTATCTCTTCTCTTTACAAATGGGGTTAATATATGGGATGCTGAACCAATTCCACATCCATGGAAGTAACATATGATATTGAAAAGGCCCAGTCTCTTTGCCCCTGGTCCATAGATTTCTTTAACAGCAGCAGCAGCCTGTAAGTCCATTCTGAGTAGTCTTCCCCTGGTGAACCTGAGAAACTTGTATGTCTGTTACCTACTTTTCATAGTCCTTTTCCAGTGCCACACTTGATGGACCTTGGAAACATGAATAATCACAGTCCTTTCATTACTTCGTTTCTTTTCTTTCTTTTTTTTTTTTGTCAGTTGTGGGCTTGAACTCCGGGCTTTGGCCCTGTCCCTGAGCTCTTCAGCTCAAGGCGAGCTCTCCACTGCTTGAGCCACAGTGCCACTACTTTGTTTATTTTCTTTATTTTATTTTCTTATTTCTTCATTCTTTCCACAAATACTTGAGATACTATACTGGCCAAAGACACAATAATAATAACCTATTTTCTATTTATTTAAATTTACATGTTATAATACCCATCACTCTTAAGAGGAAGAAATATTTCATAAACAGTATTTTGCTGAATAATGACAATATTGTGATCTCATACATATTAGTTTAAATAGATTTTAAGTTGCTATTTTACATTGATTAAAGAAATTCAATATAATAAAAAATAGTATGACATGATTGAATATTGTAATTATTGGGGGGAATAAAAGAAAACTGTTCAACACCACCTGTCTCCTTCATCTTTTTAATCTTCTATTTTAGTGATGCCTCTACTGGAAACCAGATATCCTACACAACTCTACCTTAAGGATAACTTGTATGAGGTTAATATTTAAAAAGCTAACATAAATCTAAGAAGAGGTACTTTACTAAGAGGATATTATACTGGAAAAGAATTTCCAGAATTGTATAGTGCCAAAACTATTTGTGGTAGCGTTACATGACATGTAAAAAAAAATTAGCTAAGTTTTCTATCATGAAAGTAATATAAACTTGGCTAAATCACGTACCTTGGCTCAATCTTCATAGTAGTATGGAAGTCCTGTGAGTGCAAATGACAGATCTGGATCCTGGGCATATCGTTGGCACAGAGCAAAGATTCTGTGATTATCTGATGAATTCTCTGATCTTACACCACCATACATTTGTGTGGTACCCAAAGCATCCACATTTTCACTTGGGTTAGCTCATTTGATAGGGCATAGTTTGACAAAGGTAGGACTAAAATTGCAGTTCACATGGGCTCTGACAGAAGTATGACAGGAGCAGTGTCCAAGTTCTAACAGCCTATTGATTGTTTTTGATGAATCAGTCAATGTTCCAATAAATGCTTATTGTTATGAACCAGTCTCTGCACTGAACACATTCCCTTGATTATTTTATTGAATTATACAAACAGCACTATTATGTGCTACTATCCTTCTTATTCCCATTCTAGAGATTAAGAAATAGAGTCACAGAAAAGTGGCTGACTGATGTGAGGCCACAATCAGTCAGTGTTTGCACTGGGATTTCAGCTCAAGCTAAGTTATAGAAGTTCTCAGCTGAAGTTCTCAGTTGGCCTAATCGTTGTTCCACAGTATATCAGTATGAATACATGAGCCAAAGTAAACACCATGGTGATTTCTTAATGTCTTGATTAAATTATTTACTATTACACTCGGTGCTTGTTGTACATGTATATAAATATATAATCCAGAGATGGTTATTGTTATAAGTGAGGATATAGCCTGGTATAGTAACACATACCTGTGAACCTGCTCTAGAGAGGTTAAAACAGGAGGATCGTGAGTTTATGGCATGCTAGGCTACATAGCAAGACCATGTCACAAAACCAAAAGAAAAAAAAGGAGACAATACAAGGGAGGGAAAAGGAGAAAACATGAGAGAGATAGAAAATAAGGTAATCACATAAATTGCCATTCTTTTATAGTATAAGCCTTCTCCCAGATAATAGAGAATGGGTCCAAAAGAAATTATTTACGGCAGTTGGATATTTGTAAGATCAGAACATACCTACTGTCTTATAAAAGGTCTGTAGTCAGGGCTGGGAAAGTGGCTCAGTGATAGAGCGCTTGCCTTGCATGCCTGAGACCCTGGGTTCGATTCCTCAGCACCACATAAGCAAAAAGAAAAACGCCGGAAGTGGCGCTGTGCCTCAAGTGGTAGAGCACTAGCCTTGAGCTGAAGAGCTGAGGGACAGTGTCCAGGCCCAGAGTTCAGGCCCCACAACCAGACCAAAAAAAAAAAAAGGTCTGTAGTCAAAGAGATTGCCCAGTGTCAATCAAATGAGACATTCAGGGCAGGGGTATCTTTATTTGGAGTCAGCAGTGTGGCTTTTTAATGGATGCCAAAGCTGCCTGTACTAGTATAAGTTCCAGGGTAAAACACTATGGTCAGTTGGAACTCTCCTCAACTCCTTAAGAATATACCTCACCTTGACTTGGCTCAAGAATCTCCAGAGTGTGACCCTAAAGATAGTTCCACTATCAATATCTATGTGGATGAGATTATGAGGGTTTCCTGTACATGGGGAACACGATGCAGTCAGAATTGTTCCAAGTGAACATTAACTCATGCCATAATGAAGGAAGGAAAGTGGCACAAGATCGTCAACATTACTCTTCAGTTGTAAAAAGCAAAGGCTCCATTCCATGCTGACAAAGCAATAAACCATTGTGTCTGGGCTTTCCTCCATCTTTGGTGAAGAATGGCCCTGGGCAAGTCACATTGCCACTCAATCAGTACTGCCATGTTGGTTACATTCTGTAGATTGGATCATAAAATATATTTTATCATAAGTAAGTTTATCTATTGCCATCTGTATTTTACAAATACATGGAGTAAAATGTGTCTGACCTTACTTCTGTGTTCATTGTCATTTTGGTACCTGTTGATCATTCTCACATGCATCCCAAGTCATTCCTAACTCTGATTTTTTTTTTCCATAGAGCAAATTGGCCAAGAGATGTTGGAAAACCTCAGTCATGACAGAGAAAAGATACAGCGAGCACGTGAAAGAGTAAGTTTTAAGTGACAACACCGTTTCACGTACTCAGTACATGAGAAGACGTAAAAGCAAAGGTCACCGTAACACGCAGACATATGGCAACATAGATGGAAGTGTATATGCTTATAATGTCTAGGGTGAACGAGGGGCATACCACCTCTGAAGAAGGAAAGAAAGGGTATGAGATGAACCTCAGAAGGTCCCACATGTGTATTTTATTTAGCTCCATAGCTGAGACTAGCATGACTGGGGGCAGTGCTGGAGCATGTAACTCCTTCAGAATGAAGTCTAAAAAAAGCACTGCTGCCCCATTCCTCCTCCTTTCATTCCCATTTCAGTGTAAGGACTTTGCACATTCATATCTTTAACGGGATCAGATCCTCCAGCCATTGGGCCATGTAAGGCCCATGAAATCATTCTTCTCCTTGGTTGCCCACAGTTATCTGCTAATCTTGATAATTTTGTATGACCCAAGAGTGATATGGTAAGATGAATGTTAAATTTGGTCAGTTTATGAGACATTTACTTTTATATCCAGTTCAAGTAACCATTTTTAAGTACCTGAGATTATCTCTTGCTCTCATTTCCTGGATCTAAGAATTTCCAAAGTTTATGTCAGAAATAAATATATTAAGCCAGGCACCAGTAGCTCATGCCTGTAATCCTAGCTACTCAAGAGGCCTAGAGCTGAGGATCTGTTTCTAGCCATACCAGGCGGAATAGTCTATGAGACTCTTATCTCCAGTTGATGACCAAAAAAGCTGGAAATGGAGCTATGGCTTAAGTGGTAGAGCACTAGCCTTAAGCAAAAATACTCAGGTACAGTACCCAGGCCCTGAGTTTAAACCCCAGGACCAGTACAAAAAGAAGAAAAAGAAATATATTTATGTTTGTGTATATAAGCATTTTTTATTGTTTGGCTTTATTTTTTTGGCTTTTTTTTCTTTTTTTTGCACACTGTCCCTGAGCTTTTTTTGCTCAAGTCTAGTGCTCTACTACTTTAGGCAAAGCACACTGTGATTTTTTTTTGGTGGTTAACTAGAGATAAGAGTCTCACAGACTTTACTCCCAGGCAGGCTTTGAACCACGATCCTTAGATCTCAGCCTCCTTGAGTAGCTAGGATTACAGGCATGAACCACCTTATTGTGCAGCTTTTTTTTAATCATGAAATAAAATCTTTGTTTGCATGCACTTTAAAACTAATCTAGTCGTACAAAGTCTTATTTAAATACTGCTTGTTTCCTCCCAGCTTCGGGAAACAGATGCCAACTTGGGGAAAAGCTCCAGGATTCTGACGGGGATGTTGAGAAGGTAAGAGCAAGGTAGGGACAATCTTCTCCCGCTTTCTCTCTCCTTAAGAGTTTTTCATCCATTTGCAGTGGGGAATTTTACAGGCTTGAGAGCTTCTGCTCTTTGTCCCTGTGTCAAGACCCTTTTGAACTAACAGAGCACTGATTTTAACTCTTTTTTGGACAGACAAATTCAGATTAGAGAGAAGGCTTGAGCTAGGGGGATTACCTAAAGCTATGGAAAAAATTAGGGTTAGACAAGAAGCATTTTTTCATAGCCTGAGGAAGGCCCGTGGCAGGAGCAGCCTGACTGACTTTCTGTTTTGATGGAAGGAGTGGGGGCCTGCCGTCATCCAAAGCACACTCAGTATCAGCTTGCTCTCCTCTCTTACCTTGTTTTCATGACTGTAAGGAATACTGTCTGGGGAACTTTTCTTTTAATGTAAGTACTGAAAAATGATTTATAAATTGTCAAGATTGTTGGAATCATCTGAATGCATATGTGGTTCATGTTGTCTATGTATGAGTGAACTTTGATTGATGACAATATCTGGGAGCATGTAAAAAGCTAAGTGAAGAAGGGCAGTGGTATTCTAAATTCATGTACTCAGCACAGAATGATTTTCCACTCTGAATCTACCAGGTAAGAGAATCATCTAGCATCAACATGGTAGCTTGGAACTGTGGGTAGACAAGGCAATGAGGAACATTGAGAATTGCACTAGAATAGCTTCACTGAAATTTTAAAGAAAGAAAAAAATGCTATGGCCAAGCTTGATAGTTTTTCCTATAAAGCTTCTCATAGTTAATACCAGTTCTTATAGCTCAGACTAGTTCTGTAGTTGATACTATAGAGACAGCTATGCAGAAACTACTAAAGCCCTCTGATCATTTATCATATTTACAGTAACTTACTAGCACCATATTTGATGTGTTAGAGATTAATAGCATAAGAACCATGTAAACATATAGTTCTATCTTCAGGGCTAATACAATTTCTCTCATCAGTCTGTAAATGTCAGCAGTGAGTCTCTCACACTCCCAGACACTGGCATCCAAATGTCTTCACTGCCTATATACTTTTCCCAACTCCAAACCATAAACCATCAAATTCTGTGGTTAACAGTAATATATAAATAACCAAAGAAAAACTCAAAATCCACAGAGAAAGACGCTGGCAATTGAAAGAAATGCTTCAGTGCCTAAAGACAGACAGAGAGAAAGAGAGAGAAGGGGAGGGAGGGTGGGAGGGAGGGAAGGAAAGGAAAGAGAAAGGAAAAGGGAAAGGAAAGAAGGGAGGGAGGAAGGAGAAAGAGAAAGGAAGAAAGAAAGAAAGAAAAAAGAAAGAAAGAAAGAAAGAAAGAAAAGAGCAAGCAAGCAAGCAGCAATCCTTTTACTGCTTCTCTGGAAGGCCCCTGCTATGTGAGCTGTAACGAATATTCTGCATATGTCTCCATTTTGTCAAATCTTATTAAAGAGTCCCCTTGCTTTACGTCAATTGAGCTGTCCAGAAATCATTCATCATTTTTAGTGTAAAAAAATCATGTGGTTATTTAAATAATATCATATTAATGTTAAAGTTCAGCTGTCATTTAATGGTATGGCTTAATCAGATGTAACATTTAGGGAAAATAGTTTATTCCAGCTCTGCATGGCTTTCAGGTTGGCAGATTCAAATAAGGATTTATGGGTTTCTAAACCAGTGTATTTCTGTCCCTATTTCTGCTTGATGTACCTCGCCCTTAGTGCAGGACACTGCAGACAGTTATTTCAGAATATAAAGCATCCCCTCATATTGTGTTTGAATAAATTTGCAAATCATTTAGAGAGGGTAAAGCACAAACAACTTCTGCAACCTTTGACTGGGCTTTCTGTGGGAAATCACACTAACACGGTGGCTTCAGAAGCCTGCCGAGGGAAATTACTGTGGTGAAATCTACTTGAGCTTCTCTTTGTAGGCAGACTCAGTCAATCACTGAGTCATCTGCTTTGGGAATGTATCTAGAGAACAAACAAGAATAAAAATCCCCAGGTGGACAGCACCTTGCTACAACTGAACCAAGGAAGCTCTTAGGTCCACCTGTGTTTGTCAGTGGGGCAGTAGTTTTTGTTAGGCTGAGATGTTGGTATCACTACAATACCTAAGCATTTAATCAACTCTAACTGAACTGGGGACAATACATAGTGGTGATTTAGGGTTTCATTTCTAATTAGTCTCCTATATGATGTACAATTTACTTTGGACTTGGGAAAATGCAAAAAACAAAGTTTACCAACCACTTTATTGTTTAGGGGTTTATCTCTAGTAAAACAGGCTCTTCGCTGGGCACTGTGGGCTTGCACCTGTAATCTAAGCTACTCAGGAGACAGATCTGAGAGGATTGTGGTTCAAAGCCAGCCCAGTCAGGAACGACTGTGAGACTTCTCATCTCTAGTAAACTACTCAGAAAAAGCTGGAAGTGGCGCTGTAGCTCAAAGTGGTAGAGTGCTAGCCTTTAGCAAAAAGAAGCTCAGGGACAGCACACAGGCCCTGGGTTCAAGCCCCAGGACAGGCAAAAAACAAACAAACAAAAAACATGCTTTTGAGAAATGAAACTAGGGTTTATGTACCAAAGTCTTCAGTGCTTTGGTTTTTGCATGCTCTGTTAAAATCCTGCCCATTCACATGGCATTTGTTCCTAGCACTGGGAAGGTTTATTTCAAATGGAGAAGCTATGTTCTTTTCTCCTATTCTTACTAAAACCATATAGCTATGTTGTGCACCAACAGGTGCTTCTGGTTTTAAGAAACAATGTAATATGAGACTACACATTCATCTACCCCCTTTTACAAATGGGTAAAAGAATGCATGTCTTTTCTGTGTAGTGTTAAGTATTCATCTGCATACAATATATTTATTTTCATTTGGTAAATTCTGTGTGACTGAGAATAAATGTAATCACAAAGCAAAAGAATTATCTTAAAGCTAATAGACTACTTCTAACTTTTTATCTTCATCATTTCAAAAAAATGAACAGAAATGACTTGCCATAGCCACCCATTTCAATCATTTTATTTATACTGACTAGTCTGTTGTGAAGACAGGTGAAGCCAGTGTTCCATCTGCTCCAGGGTCTGTATGTGTCCACTTGATAAGCTATGAGTTTGGCCAGAATAAGTAAGCAATAAAGTTTATAAGATCCTGATAAGTTTATAAACTGCTAATCATCTACCCTTTGTTTTTAACCTTTTACTGACTTCAAGTAAGCTAAAAAATCTATTTCCTTCCTTCTCTCTCTCTACTTTCCTCCCTCCAGTCTTCCTTCTCATTGACCCATCTTTTCTTCTTCAGTTTACTAATCTACTCAGTAAATATTTAATCCCAGGGTAAAGGCCCAGGAATCCTGAAATGCAGCCCCCTTTATTCCTTCCTTCAGAGTACCTTAGTATAGAGAGAATGTGTGCCTAAAATATGCTGAGGGGAAGTTACAAAAGTATCTGATTCTCAAGAAGCTACTAAAATCTTCAACTGTAATTCATCCTTGTTAATCATTTAAAAGGATAGCAAGAATACAACCAATTGAAAATATTATTTAAATAGCTACAAAACCAACTTATTTTGAAAAATTAGGGAAGTGGGAGAGGATTTATAAAATTCTAACACAAGAGAAATATTAAAAGAAACTAAAGTTGCAGAAAATATTGACAGAAATGAATCAAAAAAGTGATTTTTCATGTAACTGCATTATATTACCAGAAGGAAAAATAAACAAAGGAGAAAATTGGTCCATTCAAAATTATAATAGTAAAAATGTGACATCAGGATGAATCTGTAGCTGATTTTCTGGAAAGCCATTTTTCTTCTGTCTTGACATAGATGGAGGGCTACCTAGGGACACACCGTTCATTTCCTGACTGTAGACAGACTTTAAATAAAGTGGAATTTGGATAATAATGAAAATGGCTCTGAAACAAATGGTCATTCATATGGTAACTAGGGCTAAAAAATGGATTTTTCATGAGGTTCCACAAAACTTGATTATTATAATTGTCTTGAAGTATTATGAGTATCACTGGGAGGCTTAAATGTTTCTCTTTATATGTATGTGTGTGTACACATGTGTGTGTGCAAAGTGCACTCACATTTATTCTTTGACTGAAAAGTCTTAATGAGACCAAACAGTACAGCCATCTGTAAAAATAAAAAGAGGAAGTTTTCAAAATTTTTAGTCAGAAAAAAATCAGAATTCTATTTCCTTTTACCTCTGGAGAAGTAAATTATAGTTCATAATTGATCAGTAATTGTGTGTTTTCCTAGAAACATCAAGATTCCTAGAGATCATAACCAAGGTATAATTTGAGATCCACTGACATAAATTTAGAGACCATATTACAACTTTATACATCAGCTACATTTGTATATGCTCACAAAGGCCTACAGAAAAAAATGGGTCTATAATACTTTAAATCTCTTTCCTGAAAGATGAGGTAAATATCAAATAATTTCTTTTCCCACACTTGCATGTATTTGCCCAACTGTGCCCACACATACAAAATCATACAAAAGTGACTTGACATGAGTATGAGAACTTCTTTATTGTGTGGAGCTGTGGAAAGGTCTTTAGTAACAAACCTGTAATATAAACAAAAATGGGTGTTATAAATGCATTCGGCCACGTTGCTTTGTTAGGAGGTCAGGCCACACATCTGGAAAACGTAATGTACCAGTAGAACGATTCCTGAGCGTTAGAGGGCCAGAAATGTCAGTGCAATGTCTGTGATCTATACAAATGCATCTTTCAATAGACTGATTCTTAAATAACCCATGACTAGAACTGTAGGCTTCTATAAAATGTCACACCCATACACATTTTGCTCAGAAAGCATTTTGTTATATTTTAATTGTTCTAATCACAATGTCTAAAATTCAACAGAGTTTTCAAGACTTGTGAGAAAATTGTCCTTGGGAATTTGCTAGTAATTTCTGTGTGTTGAAAAGAGTATCTTCTCTTACAGTGGCTTGCATTTGTATTTTCAGGGATT